TAGAACGAACAGCTTTATAGCCCACACACAATGACACATGCTAACATGGAAGCGACAAAAGTTCATGTTACATGTCATTTAGTTGCTGTCTCATTGGCCTGTGGTATTTTTAGAACGAACAACTTTAAAGCCCACACACAATGACACATGCTAACATAGAAGTGAAAAAAAAACATGTTGTGTCGTTTATTTGCTGTCTCATCGGCGTGTAATATTTATAGAACGAACAGCTTTATAGCCTACACACAATGACACATGCTAACATGGAAGTGACAAAAGTTCATGTTGTGTCGTTTAGTTGCTGTCTCATTGGCCTGTGGTATTTATAGAACGAACAGCTTTATAGCCCACACACAATGACACATGCTAACATGGAAGTGACAAAAGTTTATGTTGTGTCATTTAGTTGCTGTCTCATTGGCGTGTGGTATTTTTAAAACGAACAGCTTTTAACCCACATACAATGATATACCAGTATGTTAACACATCAGTTCTCTGCAGGTTGATTGTTTGATTGATTGGTGTTTAACGCAACTTTCAACACTATTATGCTATTTCGTGGCGGTCAGTTTTTATTGGTGGAGGAAGCCGTAATGCCCGGAGAGAACCACCGACCTTTGGTAGGAAAACTAACAATCGTAATCAATTAAGATTGGAGTCGAATGCACCTGGCCCGTACGGGATTCGAACTCACAACCTGTGTTGACAGGCTAGTGATACAGTAGTTTTCTACTTAGACCACTCGTAGGTACGGAAAGTGATTTTTTTAAAATCAACTGATCTAAGAAAAGTTTACCTCATTTTAAAGGCATTGTGAAGACATTTTCAAAACAGTTTCACTTTTATCAATACACATAATAACAACGAGGAAATAGCATTACTATTCTAGAAAAACTGTTTCCTCTCTTTAAAAAATAATAAAATATATTTTTTTAATCATTTGGGTTATAGTTTTGTTTGTATTGCTTCTTTTTTGCTTCTTGTAAGTCAATTTCAGTCCTCCGTGTTAAGTTTTTAGGTCAAAAAAGAAGCATACAGCATGAAAATGTCAACCACTCTCATGAAATTCTATCGTCCAAAGTCACATTACATGACGATACCTTTATATTTTGTACCAAATTCCTTTCTTCAGAACATCAGTTGGTATATTGAAAATGTAAAGTAAAACTTTATAAACATTTGAATGTAAAGAAACAAAATAAAAATATGAATATTACTCTTTATATACAAATGTATATGTGTGTGTATGTGTACCATGAGAGACGAGAAAAGTTTTGAAATATGTCATCTGTCTTTGTATACGTCATGATAGTTTTAGAATGTTCCTTTTCATTAACATTCTATTTAATGAAATATTCTTATTCTTATATAGCATGTATAGTGAATGCTTATAAATAAAAATAAACAACAACCTTCCAACAATTATACTACAGGTCTAAAATACCTGTTACCACTGAAAAAACAATGACAATAAATATAACATTATTTTTTTTTGAGAAATTTAAAAAAAAAATAATTATGTCAGAACACTGTAAATACTTGTATGTATAAAAGTAAAGTAAATTCATATCTGTATATCAGTTACAATATTTATACAGTGAAATCTGTAAACCAATCTCATTCAGGACTGAAGTTCAAAATGCATTGAGTCTGAGATGAAGGGACTTCAGAACATGGTTTCTGGTTTATTCAGGGTTTGGTTTAGACAAGATTCACTGTATCAAGCACTAGTTGTTAGTATGACTTGCAGCTTCCCAGATATAATATAATTATTATTTCAGGATATATATTAAATTGCATGGTGTTCGCTAGTGTTTTTATTTTCTCGACATGAAATTACTTCAATACTGATCAATATAGAATGTGGTGCGCTCCAAGGTAAAACTTGATTAGTTCATGTATTCCTATACATGATCATGCTGAAATCATAATAAAAAATTGCACTTCCGGTGCAACTACATGCAAAACGAATCTTGAACAGAACATGGTCTGAGACCTACCATCTCCGGTATTATCTCAAGTTTTTTGGTTCGATAATCCTCTAACAGTCTGTGTGCGTAGATAGCGCTGTAGTGTTCGTTACGTCCCCTTATTTAATTATACCATTGTATTTAGAACATATATGTGGGGAAAATTTCAAAAACTCAGTTAATGTGATCACACACAAACACACACACGCACAAAAATATGTATACAAAAAATAATATCTTTAGAGTTTACTGTTAAATACAATCTAGGGTCATATTAATATTATTTTGGAAAGTGGCAGTCAGGGAAAAGGGGGAGGGGAATCTTCTTGTATCAATATGGGATGGAAGACAGGGGAGAATTGATTACAAGGGAATGAATTGCCATGTTGCTTTTTTTTCTAAAACCTTAACTGTGAATAGCAGACGAAGTAAACTGCCGCTACTGCATGAATTCCTATGTATGTTCTTAGTTGAACATGTTGAAAATACATATATTGATTGTTGTTAAACCACATTATTCAGTATCCTTACTATCTCGTGTGCAAGGGCAAGTGGTTAAACTATCTTTAAATTGCAATAAACTGGCTGTATAATGCAAAAAAAACCTATCAATGATTGCCAATCAAAACTAAACCAAAAGTTGTCCATGCAAGGAAATTAACTCTGTATACACAAAAAGGAGGGTTATTTATAAAAATTAATTTTGATATGAACACAGCTATCTAGATTTATTTATTGGACCTAATTATTTAATTGATATATTAAACTTAATAAAAAAGTACATATTATGGCTGTATAACGTTCCCTTGTATTTTTTTGAAACGAATGTAACTTTTACCCCTTGTTTGTACCTCAAATATTTCATCATTTTCCCAAAAATTATAATATACAGAATCATGAATATTCATATAATATCTATTAAAAGCAAATCAGAACCTTCTGAGACTTAACAAGTTAATAGAAGGCCGTAATCGGAGGTCACCCAAAGATTTTATTTTTACACACATCTGGGAACAATTATGTAGGGTAATTTGGAGTTATCTCCCATTGGTTTGCCATACCTACCACTCGACCACCGAGGCCCCTCTGCGGATTGAGATGTTTTTGACATCTGCAAATACGATAACATAAAAACGGACATACATTATTAGTAATGTATTGTATTGAATATCTAACGCAAAAATTTTATAAACTAACCCAGCAAACACAAAAACATCTTTAAAATGTTTTTAAAATGTTGTGTCTAATGTCATGAAAATATCACAAAAAAACGTGAGAAAAACATTAAATGTATGGTAGAATATATATCGCTAAAACGTTTTCTAATATATTTTCTAAATATTTGCATAATATAATTAAAATGTTGTAAAGAAATATCATGATAATGTGAAAAACAAATGGTGTATAAAACATTTTGATAATCTTTTAAAAAAATATTTTCTAGACATATTTTCTGAACGTTTGTAAAACATCTTGAACATCAAATATTATTACACCTTACATATATTTCAAACAATTCTATTGGGTAAAACGTTATCACGTGACATGGAATAATTCAGTTAATTTTCATTCAATAGCAAGGAAGAACGAATAACCCTAAAAATTTACACCAGCGTTGAATAACCCTATTATTCACCGGCGAATAACCTTTTTAGTTTGTTGATTTGTACCCGTGAAAATGACGTCACAGACGTAAATAAACAAAATGGCAACGTTCAAGTTACAGGAAGCCCATTGATCGAGAGAAGAGGAAATAAGGCTTTTGACGTGCATCTTGTGCCGATGATATCTCTAATAACGGTCCTTTTCAGGGCCATCAATATTTTACAAAAAGAATCTACCTTTGTTGTACAGACGAGAATTCTAAGACACAAATTACATGTATTTTTGAACGTCAACTTATGTTTGTTACTGACTCAAGTAAAGGTAAGTGCTATTATAATTATTCAAAATGCCCTTCCACTGTTAGTTCGGTATAATAAAACAATTGTGGCCCCTTAGAAGCGATGAATATCCAAAATTGTCAACCCTTAAAAGTTATTTCACTTCGGGCTGCGCCCTCAGTGAAATAACCATCTCGTGTTGACAATTTTGGATATTCACCTTTTCAACGGGCCATAATTGTATAATGTTATAAAAAGGTTTTTTGGATGTTTTCTTGCAAGTGAGACTGTGCCTAAAAAATGTTTTCAAAATGTTTTAAGAAGATGTTTTTGGTTGATATCTAGATCATATCAATATAAAAATTTCTGTACTTTTGATTGAGTTTCCTGCTTTTTTAAATAACAAATCATTAGTGAAATTAATTTATACACAGTGATTAATTCTATATACAAACAAGAATAAATCAGTTGTTTTTCTAAGCATATGAAATTCACAATTCAAAGTCTCTAAAAACAAGAAGTATCTACAAATTTTGACACATCCAAAATGGCAGACACAACTCACCATGGTCAAGCCACTTACCAAATATGAAGTCATTCTGTTCATCAGCATTACTAATTAAAGTAATGAAAAATTTGAGAACATTCAACATTTTGAAATACAATGTATATGCAAACAGGAAACAGGTGCCAGATACAAAAATGTTCACACATCACAGTTCATCACTATCAAGCAGCTCATTAAATATGAACTCATCTTTATCAGCAGTTTTGGGAAAAACAGTGATGAAAATATTTGTTGGACAAAATCCGACAAGTATAGGTGGACAGACGACAAACAGTGCAAGAAAGCCCACATTCCAACCACAATAGTATAATAATTAGTTTTTCACTCTCAACTTTTATTACCTATCTTATACACATCATGCATATGTCAACCCGAACATGCATGACATATATGCCATTGGACATTATGCAAACATTATACACATTTTCAAGTTCAAGTTACATTGACTAAAACTTGTCCCAAATTCAGATTTTTCAATACAACTTCTCTTTCTAAACTAAAACGCTACACTTCTAATAGGGTTACATCTTAAGTCAATAATCATTGATAATTGGCTGAAGAGATGAGAACAAAACACCATTTTACATCAACTATTTGATTTATTTAAGAATACATTGAAAAAGTCAATCAATTGTCTTATTCAAAATCACTTGGAATGTCTTGTAGTGTCTTATATCTTTTTCTTGCTGTGCCATGCTTCTGAAAAAAAAAATTAATCTTACATTCATATATAAACTTCTTGCACATTCCTTTATTATAGAACGATTCATGTTGCCTGAAGAATATACATCCCCTCCACTTTAAAGTTTTGAAACAAATAACGATGATAATCTGTCGGAAGAGGACGATAAATGGCTGACCGTGTTAAGAGAGAGCAATATGCCACGCTGAACTTCATTTAGTTATTAAAAAAAAACACATAAAAAACTTTAGACTAGATATGAGTCCAGTCAAGAGTCTTATTTCATTATACTCGTTGATTGTTGTCTATCATATTTTTTTTTCTTTTATTGTTTTGTATAAATCAGGCTGTTGTTTTTCTTGTTTTTTTTTAGTTTTCATTAAATGCATTGTATCATGTAGGGGCCTTTAAAAAGCCCTGCTACATAATGTCATTAAACATCTTATTGTCCTTTTTAAGTGTTAAACTCTGTAGGGTGACATAGTTTTATAACTTGTCATTTGCATCTAAGGGCATATGATACAGCCCTAGAAGTATACTATAGGCACATAATAACTTATTGAAGTGTTAAGCATTGTTTTCGCAATGATGATAATAATATAACTTAACTTCCGAGAAACACACAGATGTTGTTTATATGTATTTGAAATACTTCAAAGGAAAGCAAATATGTTGTTTATGAAAGCACACTGTTGGACTAAAAGATTGATTTAAATAAACAACTTGTTTCTATTTTGTCACAAAAAAAATAATTTATTCAAATATCCAGATATCTTTTCTGTATTGTATGCCCTTAATCTTGAATGTAATGCATTGTTTATGCTAAATATTTGAATAAAATATGGAATAACAGTAATTCTGTTTGAAAATCTTACTTCAAAAAAAAATCCTCCTGAAAGGTTGTAGACATTCCAAATAACCTGCGCCACTTCCAAATTGTAAACCTGCATTTTGAACTTGTCCTTTGTGGCTTTTCTTTTAGCTCCTCTTAAAAAATAAAAGATACATTGTATGTACATTGTGTGTATGAAGCAATAAATATAATTTTAAGCAACAGTTTATATTATCTTGCTTGTACTGAAGTCTTACATAGTCTTTGTAATGTTCATTAAGCTGTTAAGGGAAATTTAATTTACTGTTTTGCAAATACATACATACACTGATTTTACTAGAAAAAATATTTCCATTTTCAAATGGTGCTTATATTAGTGTTATTGTAACTTGTTTGTGTGGCTCCGAAACAAGGTATTGAGTCATGCTTATTGCAATAGTTGCTGTTGGTTAAAGTCTGTCAAATTTCTTTTTCATAATGTGTATTTAATGTAGGCAGTTAGTTGTTTTGTTTCAATTGTGTTGAGAAAAATTTAACATTTGTTTGTCAAGGCTTCAAAGTGGACTATATGGCATTGGTTTTCTCAGTTTTGAAAGCCGTACAGTGACCTATAATTTCTTTTATCCAAGTCATTTAAATTCTGGTGGATAGCTGTCTCATACACCTTATTGCTATTTAAGTATTTGGAAATCTGTCCCGCTTGAACTTTTTACGTCAGCATACGTCATACAATAATACACCTTATAGCTATTCCCGCTTGACCCGAGAATCTATCCTGCTTGAACTGTTGACGTCAAACAACAATCACTTTTCCATTGTGGCATCAGATATTTTTTATGATGACGTCAAAATTTTAAGGAAACTTGTGACAGTTGTGTGATGTCCAGTAATGGCGGACAAATAGCGATAAGGTGTATTACTTTCAATTGTGGTGTCAAATATTTTCTAATATGACGTCAACATTTTACGGGAACTTTTGTGATGTCCATGGCCAGTAATGGCGGACAAATAGCGATAAGGTGTATTGGCAATCAAACACACAAGCCACATATCCTTATATTTTTTTTAAATCAATGAACAAATTCATAATTGGTGTACGTAGATGCTTGAACATTGGCGGATTTAGGGACCCCGACACTCTTATGGAGCTACTTATAAGATAAATGTATAGACTATTTACAAGTATCACTCCAAACGTTTGCTTTCCTTGGGCAGGGGCCGCCCTTTTTTCAAAACCTTGATCTGCACCTCCAGAAACAGATGTAATTTGGTTCTGATTGTGATTGAACACACACAATGAATGCACAAGTTTCATCTTAACAGATTAATCATTCTTACCAAGTAAGTATATATCGCGTATCAAACAATTTTCTTGGCTCTCTTTGTTGATATCCTGTCTTTGTTTCGAAATTCAAATTTCAAAATCATTTCCGGTGATAAAACAAAAGTCGATTCCGGAAAAGGTCGGTTTTCCGTGAGGCATATAAACGATACGAAAATTGAACTTATTACAGTTACAGTTTTCATTTCTTAATTTCTAAAATATACACGAACGAAATGAATAAACATTAAAGAAAGGTGATTGTTTATTAATACATTATTACTTAATTAAATGTTGACTCTTTTGAATTTTAATATAAGAAGGAATAAAATCTGACTTCAAGGATCTTCAAGATATCAATTAAGGATTTCAACCATAGTATCTTGCTTGTCATGATATTGATGAAATGTAGTACTATATATTATCCCAAAAAACGAGTTAATTCCACACAACGTTGTTTGTGAGGTTTTGAATAAAGTTTAAATAAAATGTTATTTTTATATCCGTAAATGTTGAATAAAATATCAGTAAGACTATTAAGTAATGTGTATGTCAGAATATTTTATAGAAAAAATTTAGCTAATATTTTTCAGATGTTTTATGTAAAACATTTTAATTTTACGTTATAAAACATTTTATGCAAATAGCAAAACTATATTTTCTGTAAAACATTTTTTTGCAGAATGTTTTTTTTTTGGATATTTGGAAAATATTTACTTTAAATGTTGTTAAAATATAAAATACCAATTGAAGAAAATATTATTTTTTTATATTATGAAATATCTAAGGGATATTTTAGAACAATGTTTGAGAACATGAATAAAAGATATTAGCAAATAATATTTTGTTAATGTTGTAAAAACATTTTACTTAAATGTTAGAAATAAAACATTTCAAGAACAATAAAATAAACATTTTTTTTTTATGTTTAAATGATATCTTATTGAAATATTTTGTGAGAGACGTCCATCTGACATTTAAAAAATGTTTTTAAAATGTTGTGGGTTTGCTGGGAATGATTTAAAAAATATTAGTTTACTTTTAATATTAATTACAAGTTACATACCGAAGTTGCCTTTAAATCTCTATTATATATTTACAAGTTTGAACTGAAATGTAAAGTCATTTTCGATGCAAGGTTTTCATAATTTTGAAATTAATAAAGGATGCACACATCATCTGATTACCATATACTGTACATCTGCTTTAAGAATATAAAGAAATATAATAATATCTTTTTATTTCAACCAAAATTACATTGTATTCTAATAACATAGTTTGAATCCCTAGGCCTATACTGATTCCTTGCAGACATATTTGTATCTCGATTCACAACGTTCGTCGTACATCTTTTTATCGAGTTTATTGACTGCTATGCATTCTCCTGAAATTTCGCCGTTAGGTTGTCTGTAGGCCCAATTAGGAGCAAGAAAAGGTAACTTAAACGGATTAACGCCCCAAGTCCATTCGTAGTTTACTTTATATCCACCTGTCCAGAAATACTGGGCTGGCATCTGTAATTAAAGAAAAGTATGTATCATCAAGAAAGCTGGAAGAAGTTAATCAGCTTGGAGGTTATATAGTTATACATTAATTGTAATTTTACAGATTTATCCATTTAACCTTCCAAAAGAGTTCCAGTCAGATTTTGAACCCTTGGCCCCTGGATTAGTAAGCTACTCTAGCAGCTTAGCTAAATGAGTACTCAACCAGCGCAACTTATGAAGGGCGCCTATATATATACTAGGTAAAAGAGTGGCGAAAGATACCAAAGGGACATTCAAACTCATAAGTTAAAAATAAACGGACAACGCCATGGCTAAAAAAGAAAAAAGACAAACAGACAAACAACATTACACAAAACATAATTTGGCACCCTTAAGGCTACCTCAAGTTCAACTAAGTTTTGTGGCTTCGATTTATGAACGTTTAAAATTCTATAACCGTCTGAAGTGTGAAAATTTGACAGTTTTCAACGTCATTTCAGAAATAAAGAAACAAAGAAACAAGAGGGAACTAATTTCAGTAGATATAAACAAGTAACCAAAGTTTCAAGAAAACTGCTCAAAGCATTTTTTAGTTATTTTTCGAAAACAGGAAAATTCCCCCTTTTTATGAATAAAGTCCCAATACTCCAAAACTCGGAAACAGAAAATCTAAAATTTATCACAATCGAAAGGGGGCTTACGTCAATAGATATAAACAATTCGCCAAAGTTTCATGAAAATTGGTGAAAGTGTTTTTGAGTTATTGACGGACGGGCGGACAGACAGATGGACAATGGTATACCATAATACCCTAATATGTCCCAAAAACGGGCGTAAAAAAACGAAGAACGACCAAAAGACAAACAACAGTATACAAAACACAACATAACAAACTAAAGACTGAGCAACACGAACTTCGCCAATAACAGGGGGTGATCTCAGATGCTCCCGAAGAGTAAGCATATCTAACAGTGGGTTTTTAGTTGGGTGCCAGTTTTTCAACAGGTGAGCAAAATAACTTGGTTGAAACTATAGCAAATTTCTGATTAAAATAGTTGTGTTTGCATCATCAAAAAATGAAAACGCTTCACCATAAAAGATATTTAAGGAATGACTGTAATAATTTTTTCTGTCTATGAAGAAATAACATCAAAAATGTGGTGCACACTGAAAAACACGCATAGCGGATTATTTAAAAGTGTGCACCATATTTTTTTTTAGGTTAGTACTTATTTAATTCTAAATTCCATTTTTAAGGAGTAAATCATGAAATAACGTTGATGACTTCACGGTCACATGACAAAATTATGTCTATGAGCTGATAGACAAACAAAAATGTCAGCCAATCAGAAGACGTGTTACATCCAAGATTAAATTATAACAAAATAAACCCGACTTTATTTTTGCTTCTATTGGTATCAAGTTGACAACAACCCAACCAAAACCTACCTTACAATATTTTTGTTTATCTCTATTTAGAAAAAATAAGTCTTATATATGAAATATATTGCAAAAAATTGTTTAAAGTAACGAATGCTTATTGCATAATTGATAAAACTATATTATTACAAACGATAGTATAATGTCATAATCCAGGGGGTCTTTTCAGAAAAATTGATTGCAAGTTCTACAGTCTGAAATAATTTAATTTTGGATGTTGCACGTCTTCTGATTGGCTGAAAGTATTTGTCTATCAGCTCATAGACATTATTTTGTCATGGGACCGTGACGTCAACGTTTTCATATGATTTACTCATTAAAAAAATGTAATTTAGAATAAAATTTTAAGGAAATATGGTTCACACTTTTAAAAAACATGCAACGCGGGTTATTCAGTGTGTACCACATTTTTGATGTTATTTCTTCATAGACAGAAAAAATATTACAGTCATTCCTTAAATGTTCATGACTTGAGAGTAATTTTTCTCGTAAGATGCTTTGTTAAATTGATCGCAGGTTGTTTAATCTTGTAGTAAACTCCGGTATAAAAAAAAATCTCATCCAGAAAATGATATTGTAACGGAGTAATCCAAATAGTTTCGAAAATTATAATGTACACCCAAAGTGCTCCTCGAACAAGTGTTATTTTCTACATTTAATTACGTATATGTTAAAAGTAAATTTCCTCTACTGCTTATATTATATAAAACAGTAATATATACAAATAAAAATATTTTTGCTTAAAATTAATTTTGAATATGGATAAAATAAGAGAACTAACATGTATCCAAAGTGAAACTTATGGCAAGCCGTTTTACTATTTATTCTAACTTCAAGATATCTAATAAACTTTATAATCATAAACGATATAGCCAAATACCTCCATATTTTGATAATACAGAACCACCTAGTATTTCGTATTCCTTTAAAAAAAAAAGCAGAAGTTTGATTTTTAATTATACGTCAGTTACATCAGACGTCAATATAGAAAATAATGCTCCTTCCACTCGAGACTGTGAAACATCTAGTTTTAGATATGTTCCCTATGGTCATGTCATTACAGGAGACATCAACATCGTCGAAGGACCTAAATATCGTCATCCATCTATTATAGATTGGAAA